AGACGTCTGCAAAGCGGCAACTCTACTCCATCCGATCAGCCGCTCGGGCCAGGGACAAACTATGTTCGCTATAGACCTCAACTCCGACAACGATGTCTAATTATACACGACATCTAGCGGTTTCATAGCGCAATAGCATCTGAGCTAAGTGCCGGATGAAGTCGTTCTCGCAAAAAGCCATCCACATTCTACATATCCTCTTGGTGTATAGAACCTCGGCGGGTCCAATTTTACGGGAGAATCTCGAGTTCAGACATGGCCGCCTCGACTGGACTCGAGGGACGGACGAGGTAAGTTTGTAGATGGACCGAGAAGAGAAGTAAATATGATGTAGCTATTTCGAAACAACGATGATGGATCAAGCTGGATCCAGGTCCGGTGATTCAAAGGATGTTATAGAAACAAACATTGACAAGCCGAGCCACCTCCGATGCTCCCACGACCATCTTCAAAGGCACCTGGAACCAAGGTGAAGACAACAATGAGACCTGCGGACAGGGAATGAATGTGCGAACTACTCAAAAGGCGAAGACGGAACTTAGTTGCGAGTAACAGCATCAAAGTCACGAAATCCATTGGCAGTCAACGCTCTGGACTGGCGAAGCATCAGGTATACCTGCTAGCCATGATGCTCAACTCATTGTACGACCACGAGCATAACGCCCACAGCTCAGATCGCTCTGCCATGTTGGACACCGGCCTCGAGAGCTCTCCAGGTCTTCGAGGGCAACCGGGCTGCTACTCACAAGGTTGACTCATCACAAGTCCAACCGACATTTCTCGGATGCCTGGGTCATATCACCGGGCCTCTCGGACTTATTTTCTCTGGAATGAATTGGAAGCGCATAGTGCCGTATGAGAATGACGCAACATCCATTTCTTCCAGTTTCATGACAACACACAAGTGCGGACAAATCTCGAGTCAATTCACTTCAATTAGCACGGAGCAGGCAAATAATAGTTGCCTTGATGGTGTGACTAGTTACAAGCCTGCCCACTCACACCACCTGCGGCATACAAGTTTTTCCGCATAGTGTATAGTGAAAGAGAGAGAGAGCGGTCAATAGCGCCTGGGATTACCATTGGAGCCAGCGCAGCGCTGTGCGTCCCTGCATGGCCAAGGAAGCAGACAGACGTTCATGTGTCAAGAATCATGAAGGAAAGGCATGCAAATTATCTTCAGCAGCATTCCAGCTGCGCGGAGAATAGACCTTGCAAATGCCTTCACAAAACCCACCACACTGGGTATTTTGGTCCGTTTCTGAATGGAATGGTGGCATTCTTGAACCCCTTTGAGGTGGCTGCGCAGCTTGGACCACACACCACTTGAGGGGGTAACAAGCGGTCAAGATCTCGAGAGATCCGAGCACCCTCACTAGAGGCGGATGGCGCCGTTATAGCTTTGAGGCCATCAAGTGATCAGACCTCGGGCTAGGTTCGGCTAGGAACGTCCTTCGATGCCAGGCATTGGCATCGACATCTCTGTCGCCAAGTTCCCGCGAAACTAGCAATATCGTGATTCCGTCAAGTTGGTTGTCAGAGAGACGAATTGCAGTCGTAAGTTGGGCAGGGCTTGGGAGAGAGTTCCGTGCCCCGCGTCCGACGGAGGAGGGGTTGAGGAGGGGTTAACGACCCTCAATTGGCCCCGTCTTCAATCAATTGAGGGTTTGCGTCTCGCCTTTGACTTGACCAAGTATCAACTTGAGTCCCGACCAAATCAATCGAGACGGCTCACACAGATCAGCCAATTATCGATTGTCAGGTACCAAACCAACTATTTTCGAGCCAATGCTTCGAGGCGACAGCCACGAGTCTCGATTAGCCTCCTGTCTCTCATAACGGTCCAGAAGCATTACTTGCATCACGTAATGCAAGGTAGATAGTAGGCATAGAGAGTCGTCGGACGAATCCCGCCAACGGCCAACATGGGATGCGGCATGATTGGTTGACGGCCCTACGAAGGCGTTTTCTTTCAGACGAGAATCTCACACCGCACATTCGAAATCCAGGGAATGGCTTGCAGCAGGTTTCTTTTGCCGTACAATGGGCATGGGGGATGGCGGGAAGACACAACTGTGCCTGAGCAGCCCCTTGCCGGTTCCCCTTGACCTGCACCAATGATCGTGGGGAAAATGACTCTCGCCCGCATTGCTGCCGGACAATTCGTTGGCCTTCTGCTGCTCCGCTCAGTGTCGGTCGAATTTAGCTGGCATGTTGGTATGTGGTTGATTCACTCTGGCACGAGGTTCGCATCTCAAACGAGACAAACGGCTCCGTAGTATCGAACTCAAAGCTTCGTACAACATCGGCTTCGGCGGATAAATGCTTCATGCCACTTGTCACCGCGATTTCTCTAGAAACCCATCAAATGTCAGGTCCGTGTAGGGTCCGGCGGCGTCATGGCATTCCGTCGAGGAGGGTCATAGTTGGAGAAACATGAACGGTCAGAAGTATAGTATGCGAGATGATGTGCAAGACGTTATGCCATGAATGCAGGTATCCGAGAAGAGGCAAGTGGCACAAATCGCCATCAGAGACGGTGCCTTTCGGAGTGGACATGTTGGACCAACTACAGACTGAGATGCCTGGAGTCTGGCGTCTTTTTGATAGAGAAATTGGCGTGTGCAGGGTCTGGCCACGGCCGTGAACGGGTGTACTGGGAACAAGCGACATCGATCGGGGAACTGACGCAGATCTGATGTGCCTTATTTGCAGGCAAAGCCAATTGGAGAGACGTGCGTTCGCGGCAATGAAGGGCTAAGAGAGACTCCCGCTTGCGACGTTGATCGGTCGGTCGAAGCAGGAGATAATGGGATGCCTTTCGGAGTCGGGATATACCTTGGTTGGCAACAACCTTTCAATATCGCGACGCACCTCCAGACATTATCCGTGATACGGGTGGGGAATAACTCGTCGTGTTAAGTCGCCGCTGGCCGCTGGCCGTACCGCGTCAAGCTCGGCTCTTCGTTGAACATGCCTGGACCCTGTACTGCGACTTGTTTCGTCATCTGCAACTGGTTCGTTTGACAGATTGAGGGCTGTGCACCCATTGCCCCCCCCTCATTGTTCGAGCCAGAGGAGGGAGATCTGCTGAAGCCTCGCAATGGTCTTTGCACCAGCTTTCCACGATCCACCTTGTACTGTGAGCCTGTGGTTGGACATTCAACCAACCACCGGGAGGGTAACAACCGTGACAGCAGGCCGTCGGATCATTGGCACACGATTCAGCGATCCGCCAGGAAGAAACTATTCCCGCGAGATATTCTCCACTGGGCCGTATGACCCGTCCACCGTGAATATGGCAGTATCGCGCACCGTAGTCCGGCCTTGCCTACGCAATCGGCATCGATGACAGTCGATATCCATCCGAGATACGAATAGCTCTGGGCACCTTGGTGCCTCGGAATGCCGATACAGCCAACAGCAATGCAGTAGAGCCCCTCGAGGCTCAGGGCCTGGCAGTGGCGGGGTCTGCAAGAAGACAATCCGGACGCAGGTAGTCTCCACGCTTGTGGGGGGAGAGGAGCATCGGGAACATCAGGTCGTTCTACGCCAGAAGCCCAGGGCCCCAGGCACGACAGGGCCAGGCAAAGCCGGCCATTGCCAATGGTGGCTTTGTCTATCTGCAGTTCGTAGCGGGGTTCGTACTGTAGCGAAGATGCAATCCATCGGACGAGGGGCTTCGCCTGGTGTGCGAATCTGCGATAGCTCGTTTGGTTTTGTTGAGCCGACTGTTGTTAGCAGGTCAGTGCCTATCCAGGCGTGAAAAGCGACGTCGCAGCTACGAATGGTCTGTTCTCGCCGTCAAGCAACTCGCATAGAGTACCACGCTAGCTGCAGGTGTCTGGGCACTGGATCCGTTATCGACTGGAGCCCGTACGAGAAGATTTTCATCCTTGCGTTTGCTAATGTACCATGGCAGATCTGCGGCAACTTGCGATCGAAACCTTGCGCAACAGGCGACTTATCAATGGCTGCTCTAGTCCTGGCTCGTGGGGCTCTAACTGCGGTGGTAGGGGGCGGCTTGAAAACTCCGAAGGGTCTGGTCAGTGGTGAGAGTGGTGGCCCTGACTCTACCCCAGCCCATTGTGGACTTGGCATCATGGTAAGGGTCGAGAAAGCCAGGTTTTCATCGCGGCCAAGGGCTTATTAAGTTTTATCGACCGAGGCTACCAGCGGGCGGCTTCCACCTTGGAGTTGTTTGTTCGGCGTTGCCGCTTGTAGAAACAAGGCGGCAACAATGGCATTTCCATAGCATCGTCGGTTGGCCGGGTGGAGGATCAATTCACTCATGGGTGAAGGGCGATGAAGCGAACGGGGCCCTGGCGGAAGATGACAAGACAGATAGGAGGACTGAATTGAGGGCCAACGTGCCGTTGACGCGAGGTGCAGATAGAGTTGCCCGTTGACAGCAGCCGATCCAATGCCGTGAGCTGATCGTTTCCCAGAGTGTCAGAGGGAGCCGTGGGCGTCGTTCTTTGTCAAGTCTCGTTGCACTGTGCAGGGTGCGCTGTCCTTTTTGGTGCTTCCTCCACTGCCTGAATCACGTCGTGAGTGTTGCACCGCAGACGCATCAGCCATTGACTGTGTCCGTACAAGCCACACAGGTCACAGGTGAGGTGATGCCACTGTGATTGTGCGAGGACGGGAAGCACAGTCGAATGCTGATCAATGGAGCCTTGGCCAGCAGCCGGTCAACGTCCGTGGCCTTCGTAGCTCGTGGTGTCGCGAGGAACGGACGAATGCCTCGGGGCAGCCCGCTAGGTCTAAGTGTAAGTTTGCGCGGCTGATGACTGATTGGGATGACCCCGTCAGTGTTTGCCGTCCAGGCTCGTCCTATGTTTCTTCGGAGGAGGGATCAATAGCTGATGCCGGACGTGCTTGATGATAGACGCTAGAGGTGGCCGGTGGTGGCGGCTGCAGCAGCGTCAAGCGAGAGGCGAGATCCGTCCAGGTCGTCTCTGGCAGCTCAAGGTCTGTAGGGGCACCGCAAGTTGCACCTAGAGGCTAGGCGAGCCTGCTTGTGAGGACGCAGCCTGTCTGGCTTTGCTTGGGTTGGGTGTTGCAAGTGCCGATGGCCAGCCAGCTCTGGTTCTAGGTCGAGCCTCGAGCCCGAGCTCTGCCTGGGTATCAGGTTCCTCAAGGCTCAGGGTTAAAGCCTCGAGGCAACTTGGGGTCAGTCGCGTTTGACGCTGTTGAGGAATCATCCGAAGAGAAAGATGACCCTTGGGGCGGCACTAAGTCATCATCCGGAACCTGGTGTTTTAAACTATGGCCTCGTCGGCCTGTTTGCTGCAGGCACGAGGAGAGCTCTGGAATGTGGGCTCTCGGTCAGGTATGACCACGATATCCGTAGCGCCAGAGACGACAGAAAAGATGGTGGGTGTGCGACTGCGCCGTAGACAGAGAGGAGAGAGGCAAGAAACCACAATGAGTGACGGGGAGTAAAGGAATCCGACGCGGGCCTCATGATTCGTGAGATCTACACAGTAGAGAGAGAAAATGGACGGCATGATTTGGCGTTGAGAGGAAAAGTGACTTTGGAACCTCTGTATGTATTCGCTGATCGGTACGTTACGTGGTGGTAGGCGGGACATGGTGAAGGTAATGTGGAAGACACTTCACGGCAGACTAGAGCGAGGTAAGGTGAGGGCCGTGAGGTGAGGCGGAGGGCGGTTGGGCGGGCGGGTTCAGCGACGTCGCCAAAGGCGGAAAAGAACGTTTCCATTAACGCTCTCAGGGTGGATCCGGTACGTACTGATTGATGGAGGCTGCGATACCATGATAGGTACGTACCGTTGGAGGCTGCGGCGGATGGCAGATGGCGTGGGTGCGAGGACGGCAAGATGGATGGCAGCCCCAAGCCTCCAAGTCCCGTCCCGTCCAAAAAAATGGAAGACACTCGACCCTCAAGGTACGTACATGGCCAGAGCTACAACCATGTCTCGCTTTCCAATATCGATTTCCAGCCATTCGCCATGGACAGGGTTTCCAGCAGCACCTAATCGGTATGATGAAGGGCAGACAGAGCCCAGAGGCAGATGGAGGCAGCTGGAGAGAGAGAGAGAGGCTCCAGCCAGGAAGAAAAGATGTTTACCTTAGCGACATGTGTTACAACCCGCTCATCCCACTGTTTCTTACCAGACCACCAGACGTAGCCGTCAACCCTTTGGCCCAGCGCCTGCAAAAATACAGTGTCGAGGAGGATGATGTACAGTCTCACCCACACGGAGGCGGCTGGAGTGATTGGATGGAGTCGAGTTACAAAGTGGCCCTCGTGAGCAGCCGCCCACCCCACTTTCATGGATTATGGGTCCAATGGCCTACTGGTGGTAGGGGCCGGTCGGTCCAGTTCTTTCCCATACAGAAAGTATCAGCTTCCTCCCCATCCTCTTGCCAGTTCTTGCCAGTCCAGTCCAGTCCAGTCCACCTCAGTGCAAGTGCGAGTGTGCAAGTGCAATCCACCCACCCAACCCTCCCACCTCCTTCCCACTGGCGCAACTTTGGAGCGACACCCCCCGGTCGTCTCCGCCCCACACTCGTGCAGCTGCAGAAGGAGCTGTGGCCCCGTTCATTGGCTCCTGCTCCCGGCCGGGGCTGGAGGTTCAACTGCATCTCTCACCGCTTCTTTCGCGGGCTCGTCGTCGTTCCTCTTCACCCACGCATGCCCGCTTTTGGGGCCCCCGACCAAGTCTCTCGCCCTTCTCACCACCCGAATCTCTTCCTACCCACCTCATCTTCCCCCCAAAACCTTTGTCGCCGCTGCGAAGAAGGTCTTTTGCTCCCCTCATCCACTTCACCACCACCCCGACGAAAGAGCGGTGTCCTGGGGAAAAAGGCCATATCTCTGCTCAAACTCCCCTTTCTCGACTTACACCTATCCGTTGTTGGTCCTTTTTCCACGACTGATCTTACCCAACATGAACGTCAACTTCGATACGAGTGGAGGCGACGCCCTCTTGGATCTCTCCTCCTTCGACCAGCGGGACCGGTTTTCCTATGCCTCGCAAATCCCCTCATCCCAGAACAGCCCCCAGAGCGTCACCAACATGCCCGCTCAGAGGATCTGGCCCATTCCCTTGGATATGACCTCCAATGTCGCAGCCTCGAGTCCTCCCGAGGACCAACAAGCCCACTCGCCTTCACATAGCTCCTCACCTTTGAGCCAGCACTCGCATCATTCACCATATCAACAACCCGTCAACTCATTGACCGACTGGGCCTTGCAACAACATCAACATCAGCAACAACAGGCCCCTCATGGATTGCCCGATTACTCCCAATATGTCTCCGACGCCTACATGCCCGTAACATACAACCCATACGCCCCGGGCTTCCAGACAAATCCCATCGACTTTCTCCCCGCCACGACCCAGGCGCTGCAGGCCGCAAACTTTCAACTCGCATCCGCCTTCAACACGATGCCCCCCATGGACGACACTGTTCCGGCTATGAATTGGAGCTTGGGAATGGAGAGCTGGCACGATATTCAAGCCGCTGCCTCAGCGTTGCAAATCGACGGTCTGTCACATAGCATCGGCAGCAATTCGCCCACGGGTACCTTCCTCGAGGTCCTGTCCCTGCCGAGCACTGGCAATGGAGAGGGGTGGTCAATGGTCGTTGAACAAGGCTCTGGAGCAGGATTCGACCACTTCCAACAGGCACAGCCCAATGCGGCAATCTTCAACCCCAGCCAGACACTTCACTTGAGAACCAACTCGGACTCGTCGGACGGCGCCAATTCATTTGAACTCGGCAGCTATGAGGAGATTGCTCCCTTCCCCATCTCTCCCTTCTCCCCCGAGTCTGATGGATACGTCGATGCCGGATCTCACCGCAATTGCTTCGGAGACAACCACAACCACGCTCATACTCACAGCCACGCTCATGCACACACTCACACTCACGCCCACGTTCACAACCACGACACAGTCAGCCCTGCAGCAGCTGTTGCTCCCATGCCCATCAAGACGACTACTCCGACCCGGCCAACTCCCGCCAGCGGCTCCGGCGCCACGTCTCCCCCAATTCTCACCACCGCCCGGAGAAACTCGGGCCAGAGGCGCAGCCCCGTCACCGGCAAGGCTACCAAGGCCGTCATTCGCCGCACTTCAACCGGCAAGAAGGATGGCACTGAGGTCAAGAAGGTTGGCCGCAGAAAGGGTCCTCTCCTGCCCGAGCAGCGCAAGCAGGCCAGTGAGATTAGAAAGCTTCGTGCCTGCCTGCGTTGCAAGTTCTTGAAGAAGACCTGTGACAAGGGTGAGCCTTGTGCTGGTTGCCAGCCGTCTCACGCCCGCCTGTGGCAGGTTCCTTGCACTCGTATTGACATCAAGGATATCGGCTACTTCATGAAGGACTGGAAGGCCGACTATGAGCGCCACCTTGGACGTGGTGTCTCGGTCTACAATGTCAAGGGCTTCGCTCAGAACGAGACCGTCATGTGGATCACTCACGGCTACGGCTTTGCCCTCCCCGTCTACGTCCGCGAGGTCTACGTGGCCGATGAGAGCTGCTTCCAGGTCGACTGGGTTGAGTCCTGCTTGACCGATCAGGAGCCCATCGACTTTGACATCCGCACCGAGAGACTCGATGTCGGTGCCAAGGGCGTTTCCGTTGAGGCTCTGTCCGACTATCTTGACAAGCACATTGATGGAGGCTTTGAGGATTTCATCGAGGATCACTTCGAGGGCACTCCCTTCATCACCGAGATCCTCAAGACTGCTCACCGCTACTACGTCAAGGAGCGTATGCCCGTCATCCGTAAGGCTCTGAAGCTCGTTCTTGCCTACAACCTCACCCTGCACATCACCATGGTCGAGAGCCAAGGCGAGGATGTTCAGCTTGATGGCCAGATTGATGATGAGGACTCCAAGTACTACGGCAAGACCGTTGCCCCCGTCATGATCAACTTCCAGATCAAATGTGCCATGGCCGACATGTGGCGTGAGCTTCAGAAGGAGATTCTCGAGGAGCTGTCTGCCCTGTACTCCAGTGTCTACAGCGGTGAGCGTCTCAAGAACTGGCCCACCATCTTCATGCTGGCTTCCATTCTCCTCGCTGTTTGGGAGGAGATGCAGTTCGACTGCCACTACCGTGTTCCCGATCCGGCCGCCGTCAACAAGTTCTGCAATGACATGGAGACCACTCCTGTCGGTGTCATTGTTGGCCTCTTCCACGCCATCTCCCAGAAGCTCCCTGCCTTTATGGACTGGGACACCGCCAAGCACGGCCACCTCCTGAACAACAACGTCGCTGTCTGCGAGGCCATGACCGAAGTCCGTCAGCATGTCATCAAGCACGGTAAGTTCCACTCATTCTGGCCATTGTATCTGCAGACCACTAATAGTCCAAACAGAGGCATACTTGCGTACTCGCCCCGACGCCAGCTTTGACCGCAACGACTTTGACTGCTTGTCGAACAAGTTCTTGTCAAAGCTCGTTATCCGCGCCAACTGATTGTCCTCTACTGTGCTATTATTATTGCTGCCATTTACTTTTCCTTCTTGAGATTATGATTTTTTTTTTTTGAAAAGCCCCTGGGTGGGCAAATTTTGTTGGCATCTCTTTTGTTATTTCGAGTCACAGCGACGGCGTTGAACGAGACACCACACACACACACACACCACAAGATCTCTACCCCACCTCTTCACTTCACTTCTTTTCGGCTGGTCACCTCCCCACCACGACGATTCATCGCGATGTGTTACGACCTTTTATCATGATTCAAATTACGAATGTATGACTCGAAGCTTAACGGGGTTGGTGGTCTGGAGTCGAGCGCAGGCGAGAAGGGCTGCGCTGCGGCAAAGAGAGACGCGACATGCGCCAGGGACGTTCATGGAGACGATCATGCCGGCACGACATGCAAATGACAGAGCATAGCAAGCATAGACGATTATGATATGCATTGGAATTTTTGGGCGTTGGAAGGGCCCTTTTGCAAAAAAAACAAAAAACCTTCACACAGAGAACTGGAGAGGCACAATTGGCCGATATCGGCATTTTACGTTGTTGTAGTTAACTTGGGTCAAAATCGATATATCGAGATTGTTTGTTTCGCGCCCTTCATACAATGAGTTACTATGCACTTTGTCCAGCCCGTGTCCCAGATGTGAAGCTTTTGTCCCAAGTGAGATGCATGTACGCCGGTACGGATATCTTGAGAGGTCAATGAGATACGGCAGGGAGATATGAGGGTCAGATGAGACAGAATGCAAGCCTCGGCGTGCAGCCCACAACGTGGTGAACCACACTAGGTTAGAGCAACGTGATCTAGTCAGTCTGGGGAACGAACCTCTGCGGGCTTAAAGCAGGGTCAATGAGGGGAAGAACGGCCTTATCGCAGCAAATGGGGATGGGGGACAACACCCTTAGGCCTCTGGTTCGATTTCGCCCAAACCAATGAGAAGAGTGGCTGGAGGGGCAAGGATGCTTATGGTGGTGGTGATTGTGCTGCAGAAGAAAAGTGCATCCAACGTGGTCGGGTTGTAGTTGTACCATTGTCTCCCAGGTATTGACGGGGGCGGTGCTGGGCGCGGGGTGTGTAGGTGTGTCTCGCTCGTGTGGGCGAAACGTCGCCTTTTGGCCCCTTGGAAGGAAAGCGCGTGAACAGATGTCGCGATAAGGCCCGAGCGACGAGCGAGCAAAGACCGATGTCGCCATCGCTTCATTCCTCGGCTGACGAAAGCATCGCTTCGGAAGAGGATACGGAGGTTCGCATTCTTCTGATCATGCTGAAGACAACTTTTTCAATGAGTTGGTTGTCTGTCTGGAGACGCCGAACTGGGATCCGTATGATTTTTCTCGTCTTTGGCTGAAGTATTGGTAAACTGTCTGTTTGTCTGTCTGCCTCGGGCGGTGGTTCGTAAAATCAGGGTTCGGGAGAGGTTGGGGGTGCAGTGGCCTTTGGGATGACGTCGGCTCATTTCACCTGCCACCCCGGTCTCGCCGGTCCTTCTCCGCACTTTAGTGTTTGGCCGTGTTATGTTGGGTGAGGATTGAGGAGTGGCCGGCGACATTCAACAACTCGCCGGCCAAGTCGAAAGGAAGGCATCGTGGCGACTTGGGATGAGGTTGAGAAAAGCTTTGTATGGGGGCGACGGGATTAGCAAGCGAGCGATTCGGACGGGGCAAAGATTAACCAAGAGGCTCTGGAGGTGGCGATTCTCATGTTCGCTGCCGACTGCATTGCTTGAGGCCTCTAAGTCTGAGTGCGTGTTGAGTGGACGAGGACTCAAGTTGGGGTTGTTTCCTGGCCGCTACGGTCTGCCTATCCGGGTGGCGGGTGGGGCGATTGTTTGTCAGTGACAGTCACAGCCGGTTCGGACTTGTTTCTGACCCTTTGTGCCTCTTTGCTCTTCGCTCTTTACGCTTGACTTTTGGCTGGCATCCGTGGAATCCGTCAAGCGCAGGTGAGACACGACGAATTCCAGTCATAGGTGTCAAACCGAAGCCAGCCTTGCCAGCCTGCTTGATTTCGATATGGGAAGTATCGAGTCTATCGGCAGCTAGCATCGTGGGCATTCCTCAGGATGCGCTCGGCGAAGTCTTCAGCCCCAGTGTCTGTCGTCGGCGGTGACGATTGTTCCCGGTCGTGTTGGACGTGGTAAACAGAGGTGAAGTGAGGACGCCCGGGAAGAGGCGGAGTAGGTACAGGGATTGGCGGTGGGCCTCTTGCGACCCATCAGTTCATCAGTGACATTCTCGAGACGCTGCAGGAGACTAGCGGTATCGAGGTCGCGGGGGGTTTGCCTGTCCAAAATTCAGTCGTCTTGCAGCTTCACCAAAACTAAGGCAAAGATGTCAAAATCTTGTGGAAGCTGACACTCAGACGGGTATGCCAGATTAGATCGTACACCTCGCTGTCTTTTTGCGTGTGTTTTGACCTTGGGACTACTGCGCAGGGGCGGCATGAACGAGACCATCTGATCAAAGAAGCGGCGGCGACGAGTGGCCAACCTTCCAGCGCAAGTCGCAACTGAGACATCAGGCACAGCACTCTGGGTTCCAGCCTTCCCAGGTTCGTGGTCAAGAAGCGTGCGATAAGGACCAAGGAAGAGGTTCTTCTACCTCTTTGAGGGTTGAGATTTGTGTGAGTCTGGAGGTAGATGTACGGATTTCCGAGAAAATGGCCCACCTGGTTCTGGAGGGTTCCGGCTTGCTCCTGCCTACTTTAGCGCCTTGTGGCACTTGCGCAGTTGCTGATGAATCATTCGCCATTCCCCCAGACAAGGCACTCAGAACTGAGAAAGAAGGCACTCAGTGCCACTAACTGCATAACCTGCCCCACTTTCTCACACCTGCGCCTCCAATCAGACCCCTCCTTCCCTGCCTTCCTTGCCTTCCGCGGCCAGTCAGTCACCAAGCACCCAGGAAGGCACCACCACCCAACTTGGCTCCAGGTCCTTCCTTCCTTCCCGCCTTCAGGCAGGCCGCATCTCTCTGACACCTTGGTTGCCTTTCGGTATTTAAACCACTTCACCTCTTCATCCTTCTCCCCTCCTCCTTTTCCCCATCACATCCCCTACACAATACTTCCGCTCGACGAATCTCTCATCAGCGATCACTCGGTTACGAGCAACTACATTCAGTAATACCAAAGAGCAACACCACACATCAGAATTCAGCGAAGTTGCCATCATGCAGATCTTCGTCAAGACCCGTAAGTCATCCAGGCATCCAAGCGTCATTCCCATTAGTAACTGACGTCTTTCCTCCCAGTCACCGGCAAGACCATCACTCTTGAGGTCGAGTCCTCCGATACCATCGATAACGTGAAGTCCAAGATTCAGGACAAGGAGGGCATTCCCCCCGATCAGCAGCGTCTCATTTTCGCTGGCAAGCAGCTTGAGGACGGCCGCACCCTCTCCGACTACAACATCCAGAAGGAGTCTACCCTCCACTTGGTTCTCCGCCTTCGTGGTGGTATGCAGATCTGTAAGTTGCTCTACATCCATGCTGCCCCCAGACATGTGGTTGCTAATCCATTCTGTAGTCGTCAAGACGCTCACTGGCAAGACCATCACCCTTGAGGTCGAGTCTTCTGATACTATTGACAATGTTAAGTCGAAGATTCAGGATAAGGAGGGCATCCCCCCTGACCAGCAGCGTTTGATCTTTGCTGGCAAGCAACTTGAGGATGGTCGTACCCTGTCCGACTACAACATTCAGAAGGAGTCCACTCTCCACTTGGTTCTTCGTCTTCGCGGTGGTATGCAGATTTTCGTCAAGACCCTTACCGGCAAGACGATCACGCTCGAGGTTGAATCTTCAGACACCATCGACAATGTCAAGTCGAAGATCCAAGATAAGGAGGGCATCCCTCCCGACCAGCAGCGCTTGATCTTCGCCGGAAAGCAGCTTGAGGATGGTCGCACCTTGTCGGATTACAACATTCAGAAGGAGTCCACCCTGCATCTCGTCCTGCGTTTGCGTGGTGGTATGCAGATCTTCGTCAAGACGCTGACTGGAAAGACGATTACGTTGGAAGTCGAGTCATCTGACACGATTGATAACGTGAAGTCTAAGATCCAGGACAAGGAGGGTATCCCTCCTGACCAGCAGCGTCTTATCTTCGCCGGAAAGCAGCTGGAAGATGGTCGCACTCTGAGCGACTACAACATCCAGAAGGAATCAACCCTTCATCTCGTCCTCCGTCTTCGTGGCGGTCAGTAAGCGACGGGTCAGCGATGGGGAAGTTGCCTTGTACGAGGCATGGCGTTAATGGATTACGATTACGGCGGGACAATGGTTCTGAATGATATCTTCACATATTCCTAGAAGTTAGCTAGGCACTCATACGCTCATGAAAGCGTCAATACTAGACTCTATTGAAGTCTCAAACACTTTGCATTGCTGTACCGTGATATTTCTGTTTCATTTCTTGTTGCGATGCGAATGTCACTGTCTGGAGGTTGACCCATTTATCGCTTATCAGTGACGTACCTGATGGAACGAGGTCCGTAACCGGTGGGGCTGCGGAGTGCACGCTCCTAAAGCTCCTCGAAACTCGCGCCTAAATGATTGAAATCTTCCCCACAACATAATTATCCTGCCCGATTCCGTGAGTTGCGCCGCGACATGAACAGCCCGTGGAAGTCCTGGAAACACTTGGAAACTCGCGTTCTTTTGCCTCCATAGTTTGGGGGGTCTTTTACACCAGCCACGCAGCATTTGAGTCTCAAAGTCTACCAGCATCGTCTCACGGCAGCCTACGAGGCTGAGAAGGGCTATGCGGACCTTCTTCTACCACCTCAAGTTCGAGCTCTATCCCACTTCAAGCCCCGCACTCGCCGACACCAACGTCGTCAAAGGGAAACAGCAGGAAGAAGCCCTCAGTAAAGACGTGTGGCTTCCGCCGAAAGGCGCCAACATCTTCGCTGAACTTCCCGCGCATTCCAGGAAAAGTTCGAAGAGGCCGAGTACGAGCTTCCGACCGCAGCCTTCACCACTACAAC